TGTATTTCGATTTTTTCGTTATTATTATTTGTTTCTTAATTTTGGGCATAATGGAGATATTATTTGTTATTGTCAATATTTTTGTAATTAATCTATATTTTCTTCTTTTGAACCATTTTCTTCTTTTGAACCATTTTATTTGTTATTAACACCTTGTTGTAAGCCGANAACAAAAAAAAAAAAAAACACCTTGTTGTAAATATAAAAATGCTTCGATTTAAAAATATTTATTTTGTTCGTCCCAAAAAAATAAATGTATATGTATGTATAAAATCGGATTGAAATAAAAAAAAAATTAATGATTTTCTCTGAAATTTCAATGTAGCTTTAAAAAACAATTTGTGGACAATATTTCGCATCAAACTGTCGGCTGATATTTTTGTGGTCTGTATTAAACGTTGCAAATTGGAGAAAGACAATTCTCTACCAAAATGCTTTTGCTTTAAGCACAACGTCAATGCCTTGTAGACCAAGGCACGTGTTAGCTTAACCCTAAAATACAACAATCGCAAAAAAAAAATCCACATAACTGCAATTGGTGAAATGTTACCTCTCACTTATAATCTGGACACATTCATATTCAAATTCCTCAAGTTCTCATTTGTAGAGAATAGAGATGGCTCAGGGACCAAAGTATCAAACGACCACATGCATATATAAAAACATTTCAGACGATTTTTGAGCCAGAGAGAAAAGATAGATAGATTTTCTAATCTTTTTTGTTTACTGTTATTATTGATTGATGATATAATGTAATGTTTCACATGTCAACAAATTAGTTTCAAGTGACCTCAAATCTTTTTTGCTTCAGTTTGCTAATAAGCTCGGTTTGGGCTTGTTTTCAACGCAAGGCTCTGAATAATCCGCATGTTGACTTAATAATTGTATGTTCTTATATCTTTTCTCAACCTGTTTCCGCAATAATCAACGTACGAGTATAATAAGATGAATATTCAATTTCATCACAATCCATTAATCATTGAAAATTTATCTACAAGCTCTATATCTCCATCATATTGTAGAGATACTTTCACCAGAATTTATGATTTTTACCTAAACCGGAGAGGAGACGATATCTAGACAAAAGTGTGAACACTAAATCGTCATCATCATCTGAAAAAAGCTCAAGACAATCTACTTTTATCGTCTCCGTTTTGTATATATATGACAGAAAAGTTTACAAGAGATTTCTGTCTTACATAAAGTGATAAAAATAGATTTTAATGATATTGCGATGATGATGATGAGATTTTGTTAGTAAGGATTGGTCTTTTATATTCGGTGTAGTTTAGGGTTTTAAATGGTAAGGGTTAGAGAGAAAGATACAGCTGAATTAATTAAATGAGTGAATTAGAGGATCTGCTGAATTAAGAAGGTGATTTCCTTATCTTCCAGATTTTTATTCCGAAAAATATTGATTTTGATATGCATTAATATTGATTTTATGTTTGTAATGTAATTTTTAAAGAAATATTAGTGTTGCCCAATTTTACAAAGGCAATGTATATAATTAAAAAAATTATCCTCAAAGCATTTACAAAAACGCAGCAATAAAATTAAATTTATGAAATTTATATAATATGTTACAGAAGCTTCTGAGAAAACAAATATACATCAAGCATGATGTAGACTAGACAATAATGGTTTAGAATTTATAATTTATAACAAATAAACAGTTTGAATGTCATATAAACTTTTTCTTACGTACCAATAACCAAATCCAAAGAACTCAATCATGTGAAATCTGTTTCTTTGGGCCATCCAAATGAACCAAAACGCTTCTGCTTTAGCACAATAAACCAATACCCTGTAGAACAAGGCACCCGTTAGCTTAAACCCTAAAATGCAACAATCCCAAATCTACAAGACTGCAATTGATGAATGTTACCTCTCACTAAACTGGACATATTCCTCAGCTCTCATTCTGGCTTTGAGATGGCTTCTGTTTTCTCATCTCTGCGACTCC